GATATGTCACTTTGAAGGTCAAATGATCAACCAGGAGTTTTTAATTGTCTCACAGTGTCCTATTCCCTTATTAGGATGACTAACAAATTAAAGGTAATTCTGGCAAAGGACAAACCAGATTTTACCTATTGTGACTATATCAGCCATGTATCTTAGATGCTTTTGAGGTTACTATGAAGATGAGCACTACTATGAATTCTGTCTCTTTGATGCCTGCAGGCTCAGAAGTTAGCTTCTCTTGTGAACAGACCTATGAAAGCAGATGAAATATCAGGTATCTGCCCCTCAAAGACTCTCAGGAGGTTTAAGTCACTTACGGAACTAGCTTTGTCCAAGAAGGGCACCAAAAGGCAGGTTATCCAATTGTCAGTTCACAATAGGTCACTGAGGCCAAATCCCTTTCCCCAGAGGCCTCTACTCAAAAAGTAAAGCTCATAGCTCTTATTTGGTCATTGATATTTGGAAAAGTCAGAAAACCTAAATATTCACAAGACTCCAAATATGCCTTTCTGGTGCTACATTCTTATGATTAATATGGAAAGAAAGGGGCTTATTAACTAATAAGCAATCATCTATAATAGCAGGAAATTCTACAATTTTTAAAGGCAGTCTATCTTCCTAAGATAAACTGTCACTCCCTGAAAGGGACCCCAATGAGGCATCCTAAATCTCCTTGGAAAATCAGTAGCAGGCTGGTAGAGAGGCAAGGACAGCCTTACAACCTCTCAAGACCCTAGCTTTATTCCCAGTTCCTGATCAACCATTAAACCAGTCCTTCCTTAGAGGATAGAGTAGAAGCCCTACATGGGAAATGGTCACTAAAATTTTCACAAGACTGACTCTACTCCTGTGAAACTGTGGAAGACCTGAGGCTCCTCTTCAGATAATGACCCATAATTCACTACAGCATAAACAGAAACCTGTATTAACACTCCTCTTAATTATCCATAATGTGGTAACCTTGTTAAGGCTATGGCTCTCAGTCTTTTCATAATTTATTTGACATCCTTCTTTGCCATATTGTATCCCTCACAGGAAGTGTTGAAATCTGTCCTTCTCCTCATATTTGGCCTCTACATGCCTAACCAAATAATACAATTACTTCTGTGACAAATTCACCAAGTTTCTACCATCAAAGAGGCAGCTCAGCAGTCTTTGACATATAGGCACTAACATTGTGCTTTTTTACATTGTCCTTTTTTATTTCTTCAACACAGCTAGTGAGCCACAACACTCCAAGGTAGTTAGAGAGAACATAATCTCCAGTAGGTAGGACCTATAGCCTCTTTCAGCAGGATGTAGCTATATGAAGGCAGAGACCTCCACTCCTTCAGCACTTCATAAAGAATTATGGAGATGAACATCTCTCAAGAGGAAATGAGACAAGAGGTTTGGTCCTGAAAAATTGGCTAAAGAAGTGGGCATGATCTGTTAATTACAAAGTTCCAGGGCATATGCACAGAACAGTTAACAAAACCGTGCTTGTGGCCCCAATCTCCTATCTTTCTCATGAGAACTTGAGCACTTTTGGATACAGTGGCTTAGATCTGATGTCAGCGGAGGAGTGGGAGATAGGAAAGAAAGTCGCCATTGAGCTCTGGGCTACTGTGTCCTTTTACAGCAGTCCTCTCTCATGCTATAGAGTGCACTTCTTTTCCTACTTTCACTTGGCCCAAACTTGCTCTGCAGTGCCAGTTTCTTTTCCAGCCTTTTAATAAACATAAAATCTCATGACCAACTGATTTGACTTGAACGATTCCTTGCTCAGGACAGAAAGCTCCCAGAAACTATCTCTAGAAAGAGACTCCAGTTCCCCAAACCCACTAACAATGTGGTTACTATACATTTAACTTTTTGAGGTACTACAAAACTTTTTTCCAAACTGGTTGCCACATTTCATCCCAAGTGCTATGTACTAGAGTTCCAAACTCTTCCTATCTTTTTCAACAGTTTTTATTGTATAATTTTTTGATTGCAGCCATCCCAGTGAATATGATGTGGCATCCTATTGTGGTTTTGATTTAAATTTCCCTAATGACTAAGGATATTAAGTATATTTTCATGTGTTACTTAGCTGTTTTTAAATTCTTGTATGAATGCCTATTAAACCTTCTATTTACAGTATCTATGTTTTATAGTGCTGCTTATCAAATCCCAGGCCTTTCATATGAGCAGAAAAAACACAATTTGATGAAAGAATGCTAGAGTTAATGAAAAATTAATTACTATTTATTATTTTTATGTTCCTTTCACTACATGTTGGGGAATTCATTGACATCTAACATGGAACATTTAATTTAACCCTCACATAAACTTAAGAAACAGAATTATCATGATCTTCATTTTACAAATGTAGAGACTATAGTCTAGATATTTCAATTAAATTTCCCACTATCACATAGTAAGTATAAAAGAACAGAGATTATATTTAGATTCAGGTCTCTTATAGTCTGTTGCTCCTTTTGGTGACCAGATGTCCCCAAAGGCCTACTATATATTAAATTTAGAATAACCACTTAATTGAATAAATGAATTGACTGTGGACAGAAGACATCATCAATTAACACAGATATGGCCATTGGAAGCTCACATCCAGATTTTGGAGTCCATTTCTGTTGGAAAACTTTGGCCAAAGGAGTGATCAAAGTGTGTACAATAAGCAAGGGACCTTGGAAGGCTCCTGGAATGCATGGTTAAATTTAAAGCAGATCCGTAGAATAACAGTCAGCAGAATTGACAATAAGCTATTCTCAGAGAACATTTGCTTTGGCCATTGTTCCCCTCTGTCCCAAGAAGATTGCTTAAACTAGGTCAACCTGTGTCACATAGCAAACCACCCCATTCCTTCCCTATCTCCTGACCAAAACGCCTATAGAATAGTCCCCAATTTATAAACAAGTTTAATCTCTCAAATAAAATCATATCCTTTTACTTTTCTCTCAAAGCACCTCTACAATATAAAATTATGCAGTCATTTGTGTATTATTTCTATGCTACCTACTAGACAGTAAGCACTAATAGGACAGGAATCATATAAATTTTATTTACTGCTATATTTCAGCACTTATCACAGTGTCAGACCCAGTGAGTCAAAAGATCATTGAATGAGAAAAGGAAAATACTTAATGAAGTCCTGTTATATGCAAGTTATTGTTGGTAACTAATAAAAAGTATATTTTCCTGTTCATAGAGCATTGGCAAATTTATTTGAGGAAATAAGATCCCACAAAAAGTATAAAGCAATTAAAAGAAGAGTTCCAAAAGAATGGTTCAAATTGTAAGTATTGGTAATTCAGGGGCAATCAAGAATGTTATATTTAAAAAACACTGTTATTTATAATAAAGATCCTTAGAATTTTTTTCTTTAATTGACTTTTGTCCATTATACATCAATGGAGGGGGAAATAGTACAAATGAGATCAGTTATTGCTTTTGGAAGGTATTTTGGTTACAGTGACAGTGAGCTATTAATTTTTCTGAATTTTAGTTTCTGTATAAATTTGTGAGTTTCTTAAAGTAAAAATAAACGTAAGTTGGAGAAAAACTACTTTTCTAGTAAAGGGAATTCTCTAGCTTAAGCATAAGCATTTTATTTAGTGGGTATTGGCAATGGTTGTTAACTGCGTATCTCTTTGCTGAGACAGCTTATGGGTACTTGTGTGGGTATCATCTTGGAAAAATCACAGAAACATGTGTTCTAAGGTTTACAATGGTGACTAGTCTCATTCTCTCCATTTTCTTTATCTGGCAATGAAAAACTGAATTATGCACTGTCAGATTTCCTCTAACTCTTTTTCAGAAAATAAGTACACAACAGAGTATCAGTTGGGTAATAATTCTCAGTGTTAAATATATTTCCTGGGAAAAAGTTTGTGGTAATTTTATGCAGCATTAGAGTTGTAAATTTTATTTAAAGTATATATTTAGTTTTGACACTTTGTGGTCCAAATGCTTATCAAAGTTTTGATGTTTTAGCCCACTTTCATCATCTAATGCAAACTTCTTGGCCTTTAGCTTCGTGGTTATAACTTGAGCTAATAAACATTTTTTGAATACTTACGTGCTAGGCACTGAGCATACATATCCACGATTCTTGTCCTCTACATTTAGAGTGAACTGACTAAGGAAGAAACTGTGTTATAAGGGCAGGTTAGAGGAAGTAACTGTGATGAATCAGTTACAATTCACAGTATTTCCCTACTTGTAGAATTTTCTATTAAAAAAAATACCTTTCATATGAAGTAAGATAGGACAGAGGCTATTCAAGATATATCAGGTCACACTGTAAAACCAATAAACAGTGTTAAAGATTTGTTTGACTAGAGGCAAAAAAGCAGGTAGGGAATGCAAAATAGTTCTTTTTTCTTTAAAGCAGCGGTAATCGCGCCTCGGAAAAACTTCACTGGCTACATACTGCCACTGCAAAAGCTCACTTTTTTCTTGACGAATAAATGTCATACATTTATGAGGGAAGGTCGACTGCTAACATTCAGATTTAGAAGAGCGATTGCAGAGACTGGGAACTCTTACTAGAGTTTGGAGCCCTCCTCCCACCGCCCAACCCCAGAGAGCTTCTTGCAGACTTGGAAGGGTTCCGGTTTTGGCCAAGAGATTATAATCATTTTATTTTAGGCAACCTTTCATCACCACAAATCCAAACCCGACAATCCTTTTTCCACAACTTCGGATCCTCCCTCTTCCTGCCGGCCAAAGCCTGGCGCGCTTCTTCCCGGGACGAGAGAGAGCTGTCCTTTCACTGGGTCATCCGGGACAAGGGCAGTTTCCGATTGGTTTAGAGAAGAAGGCGGGAGAGAGGTGTGCCGGCGCATCACAAGCGCCACAGGCTCCGCCCCGCAGAGAATTATGGGAGGGAGTGGGAGCCGGGAGGCGGGAGATCACCCGGAATGACAATTGCAGATTTGGACCTGCCCTCCCCGGGAGCAGATGTCTCCGCCCACCAGGCAGGCGAGCTCCGCCCTCACGCCCCGCCCACGCTGCGGGAATCAGGTGATACAGGCTGGCACGGTCACGTGGCCGGGGCGCGCCCGCCCGTTGTGGCCATGGAAGCCGCGGTTTCCAGCGTGGTGAGGCGAGTGGAAGAGCTCGGTGACCTGGCTCAGGCTCACATACAGCAGTTGAGCGAGGCTGCGGGTGAAGACGGTGAGGGAGCGGAGGCAGGGACCCGGGGACGGGTGGTGGTTCTGGCTTGGCGCTCGATGTCAGTAAGGGCTGGAGGCTGCGGCCTGCGCTGGTGGCCTTGGCTGTCGGGGGTTGGGGGGGGGGGGGGCAGGTCGTCGCTGTCCGAGGTCTTGCTCCTCTGACCTCCGACTGCGCCCTCCTTTGCTCTCCCTGTAGAACTCACAGAGCCAACGTGTTGCTTTGCAAACTGCGTTTTTCATAGCTCATGAAGTGTGTCTTGTTTACATCTGACCCAGATCCGTGCTGTCGGATTTAACCGTGTTGCGAACGATTGGGGAAAGTGTAGAGTCAGAGTTACACACGAACGTTTAAATAAATGGTTAATCTAAGTGAGAGTACTCAAATAGGTCGTGGTGATTTCGCACCCAGTAAAAAAAGACAAGTGCTGCAGTTCCAGAAAAATTAGAATCCAGTGTTGTAAATTTTCACTTTATGGTTTTCATTCAAAACTCAATTGTAACCCGTATTCTTGAAGAATTTTACTTTAGTTTACTTTAGAGGATTCCTTAATATGCATCATATCGTCATAAGGGCTCTGTATTAGAAATACTTGTTTTGGAAAGGGCTGAGCTGTGTCCTTAGGAAAACCTGGCTGGGGAATTGCCTGTGCCTCTGACTTCAGATTCATATCTCTTTTCATTATTTCTCAGCTGCCTATAGATTCTACCTTACTGCGCTTTGAGTTTTGTGACTTTACTAAGGATAAATTTTAAAACTAAAACTTCTCATGAGTCATCAGACTGACAGGAGAACAATATTGGAATATTTTCCCAAGTGATTGAATAGTTGGTGGATTTATTGAGTAGGTTTATAGAATAGGGTCTATGGTAAAATGAACTAGCCTCGGGGAAGGTTGCTGGATTATCTCTTCCCAGGAATATGTTTTTGAAAGACCTGCAGACGACACAGAAACCAACTTCTTTTTTTTGGTTTATGGAAAGTGAATACTAGGAATCACATGAATAGTTAGTTCATGGATAGTAATAGTTATCTGGAAATGTATCCAAGTTACCTCTATATCCAACTCTATTTTTTAGAGTCAGTCAAAAGATATCAAAAAATATTTTTTGCTGTGTTATCGCTGAACTAAAAATCTGTTCTCATTTTTCCTTGGAAGAATTGTTTAACCCAGTCTAGAATGAGGCCTGGAAGTAGGTCAGGTTTTGTATATTTGTATGGAGGCTTTATACTCCTGAAATTTTACCAAAATTAAATTATGATAGCAGCTGTCTATATTTTGAGCTATTAATCAGTATTGAAATCAATCTTATTAAAGTAATACTAATAATTTTTTCTTAGGAATTTTAATTAAAACGGCTACAAGTATCTGAATTAAATTTGGCATTCTTTTCCCATGCAACAAAAAATATACTTTCAAATATTGTCGTTTAATGTAACAAGTATATGCTTATAGTATGTTGTAGGGATCGATAGTTCTATTGTCATTTTAGATCAGTTACAGCCAGACATTATTCCACTTAAGAATATTCTCTTTTTTTATTGCTGACCAATTTTTGTTCATTTCTTACTGTACAAGCATATGTTTCCTGTATGGGGATATACTGTGAGAAGGACTTTTTTCAGACATCATGTAAAAATGACTTTCATCTTTTATCTTGTTAGTCATTACTTTGACTAAATATTTCTAATAAAAGTACTGCATTTTTAGGGATTTTTCCAAAATGAGAGCTGTACCACTACCAAATCTGCCTTATAGTAATTATGAATTCAGACACATACTTCTTCACCAGTGATTTAGTGAGTTCAGTGCAAGTCTTTACATTTAAAATAATCTCTCAAGAAAGTATTAACAAAGTCTCTAAGCACATAAAGAGTGCCATATTCCATACATTTTGGTTCACAGTAGAATCTTTTCTTCTGGATTGTATGGTTTTTACTTCTGATCTGAGGAGACATGGGGAGACTACTAAGTAGCAGCTTTCATCTGAGGTGAATGAAGGCTCCTGTAGCAGTGAGCATCAGGTAAAGGTACAAGTTAGTCTTTGGTGGGAAAGCTTAAGGTTTTTATATGTTACAAGTGGGCATAACCTAAGGATATGTTTACCCCAATTTGGAAAAGCTGTCCTTGTTTTACCGAAGTGGCTGGATCAGATGAGCCCATAGCAAATGCTACATTATTTGTCCATTGGCCAATGAAGAGGTAAGGGTTTATATTTCAGAGGAGAAGCACAGAGGGACAGGCTGAGGGATTTTAGTGTCTTACACTATAGTAGGCTTATCTACTACATGAGGTGATGCAGAAGGGTAGCTAGTTCGGTGTGAACACATAAAGCTGAAATGATAGAGGAGGGAGTATGACAGCAGAGAAAGCAAAAACATTAGAAGGCAGTGAAAGGGAGATGGGGTGTGTTCTGATTAGTGGGCATACTAGAACTATTTTGTGCCTTTTCTTCCAGGTTTTAAAGAAATGAAGTAATTTTTCCCATTTCTTTCAAAGGAATAAAATACGGGCATTATGTAATTACAACTGCTACAAGCATAATAAAGTTAAAACTGCTCACAGTGTTGATATTTTATAAAGCATTTGATTTAGTCAGTCATATTGTTTTAGGAAACATTTGCAAATACATTTATGAACTTACATATTTTCAGGGGAAATGCTTTCTGTAGCTTTCTGTAGAATATTCTTACTATTCCAGTGAAAGATATACATGTATTATTTAAACATTTTGAGTACACTAGCATTATAAAAGAAGCATTAAGAGAATACACACTGCAATTAGGAACTGGCAATAGTAAATATAAAAAGTTTTCAGTCTTGCTTTCTAGAAAAATTTCCATGATAACTGAGCTTAATTACCGTTAAGAATTGATACATTTTGTGCTTTGGCTAAGATATTATTGCCTTGCTGTTTCTCCATATGCCATAATATCATTTTGTTTCACTATTTCAGATACATAACTTGGTTTAAATGGCTGTCAGAATCTGTGTGAAGTACTCATCATGTTTTTATTTTTTAAAGATCATTTTTTAATTCGGGCCTCTGCAGCTCTAGAAAAATTGAAACTCTTGTGTGGAGAAGAAAAAGAAGGTTCAAATGCATCCAGTCTTCTAGAACTTTACACGCAGGTACTGAAACAGATGTAGACTCTGCCATTTTATTTTCAAATGTAATCAATTTGTTAAAAATACAGTATGTTTACAGCACTTAGACTTGAAACTTTGAGGCTTTATCCTAAGGGTTGAGATGTATTAGTTACATTGATAGGGATCCAGAAAAATATCTTGCAGATAACAGAACTGCTTCCCTTTATGCATAATTAATCAGAGCCCTAATACATGCTGTGTTTTAAAGTCTTCAAGGTTCCAGAGGGAGTGGGGACTCAAGAGCCCCAACTTTTTTTTCTGAAATTCATTTTTCTTTTGGATTCTCAATATAATTCTCCTGTGTTAGTGTCGCACACATAGATTTTTCTGTTCTGTTTTTTCCTTTATTTTGCTTCCATATTGAGGGTTGTGAGTGGACACCTGTTTTCTTAGTTTTTGCAAATCCTGCTGATGTAATATGACATTAAGAAATAAAATTTCATGATGATAACCAACATTTATATTGTACTTTATAGTCGATAAAGTGTTTTTATGTACCCTTTCTTTATTGCTAAGGATAATAAAGATGCAATGGTTATAGAAATAGAGTACCTAATTATTTCCGGAGTGCATATTTATAGCAGGTATATGCATGGGGCTGTAATTTCTGTTAGAAAGTACTTTATAAAGGTGGTTTCTATCTCTAGAGATCATGGCTGAATGATCCTGTAACAGCTATTAACAAACCTCTAAAAACTGCTATAATTTGGCAGGTAGTTTGCCTGACTTTCTTCCTCATAGAAGATTTTTCTATCTTGTCGACATATGGTGGATGTCCTTTCTTTCAGCTGCAGATGTCCTTAACATTTTAACTTCTTTGGAAGGATAAAGCAAAATATTCAGATGTACAGATTTTCTAAAATCCCTTGAACCTTATTTATGATTAGGGTCAAAAGATCACCTTCCATAGATTGCTGATCTTTCTTCTGACTTAGATTTTCCACACATTAACAGATACCACTTAAATATTACTGTGTGCTATGTAATGTTTCAAGTACTTTACTTATATTAATTCATTTTCTTCTCAAAGCAAGGAATTTGAGGGCATTAGTTCACTTTATCATTGAAGAAACTGAGATTCAAAAAAGAAAATAGACTAGGGTTAAAATTGTTCTTGATTAGGTAGAATGATTAGTTTTAGAGCTGATACTAGAATTTAGTTTTCTTTGTCTTGATCCACTTGATTAAAAAAAAAAAGATGAGGACAATTTAATGTGCTTGAACAGAGCATTGCTTATATGTAGGACTGTTGGAGCCTTAGAGTTTGAACTGTATGTGTTGATGATATGCTTCCATTCTTGAGTGTGAAGATATATATATATCTGTCAAATACTGGTTGTGCATTTAGGAAAATGAATTCTCTGAAGATTCAGTATATAAAACTAGAGGTGCTAACCTTATTATGGTAGGCATTTAGAAAAATTTCAGAGGAGGCTCCAGTGGCGCAATCGGTTAGCGTGCAGTACTTATAGAGAAAAATTTTAGGAATTATATATGTATAAAGAGCAAAACATTGGGGACCAGGGATATAGCTCAGTGGCACAAGTGCCTGCCTGCCAAGCACAAGGTCTTGAGTTCTATTTCTGAAAAATAATTAAAATTTAAAAAAAAGCAAGACGACATCTTTCGTAATTATATATGAGTAACATGTTAATTAAAGCATGTCTTCATTTTATTTCATGAGAGAAACAAGATAATCATTAATCCAGTATTTTAGTGGAATACTTGTAAAGTTTTCTATAATGTATGTCTGAAATTATATTCATAATCAGTCATTTTGCCTACTTGCCAAATTTAAATAATATGCATAAAGATTTGAATGTCTACTAAAGCATCTATATATACAAAGTTAAACTCTAAATAGCTCATTGTTTCAACTTTAAATCATTTATAGATGCTTTTTACCTCTTTAGGCTATTTTGGACATGACATATTTTGAGGAGAACAAGCTAGTAGATGATGATTTTCCTGAAGACTCTTCTTCACAAAAAGTAAAAGAGCTGATCAGTTTTCTTTCAGAACCAGAAATTTTAGTTAAAGAAAATAATATACATCCAAAAGTAAGTTTGTATTATGAATCATAGGGGAATACTGCTAGTTCTTGTTGTCCTGCTCAGGCTTCTTTTTTCTTAAATGTGTTTTTATTTCTGTTTTAAGTTTGAAAGAAGCAAATAAGAGAATTTAACACTACAGATCCATGTCACAGTAGAGTATCATATTTTACAAAATGTTTTCAGACTATTCATATAATAGAGTAGTAATTGCAGTACCTACTTATTTTCCTTTTTTTGTTTGGGGTTTTTTGTTAGTTTGTTTGTTTTTTGAGATAGGATCTTGAGCTCATTTTGTAGCCCAGGTTGCTCTCAGCTCTCAGCAATCCTCCTGCCTCAGTGTCCTGAGTGCTAGAATTATAGACATGTGCCACCATACCTAGGTTTAATAATTTTCTTAACATAGATATCCCCTACTTGTGCTCCCTTTACTTTTGCAAATTCTTTGTTTTCTGGAAGGTCACTAGTAACCTAATCACCACATGTGTTGTCCTTTTCACACTTCTGATCTTCCTGAACATCTGCTGCCTTTCTTACCATTGATCACACCCAGTCCCTTGGAGCCCTGCACATGCTTTCCTCCTTTGTCTCTGAGACACCTTCTCTTGCTTTTTTCCTAGCATTTCTCCCCTGCGCTATTCTAGAAATACAGGTCCTTCCCGAAGGGTTTTGCTTTCATCCCAATACTCTTTTGTTCACCTAGCTTTTACAGTCATCTCAGATGATTCCCAGGTTTGTATCTCTAGTCCTAGATATTCTTTCAAGCAAATAATTTCTCATCTTTAACTATCTAGATAATTTCTTTGCTCTTTGTATTTATTAGGGAAAACTAACTATGGAAACAAATCATCCACAATTTAAAGAATTTTGATTTAGTAAAATTATTTTTGTGTAACTTTTCATTATTTTGTTCTAGCGATCCAGTTCTTATTTAGTCATTTTTATTAATATTATTCAAGTAACATTTCTAAAATTTTTTTTAAAAAAAGTCAGATTATGTACTACATATATTTTGAATATGTTAGAATTTGCTACTAAAGTTTTTCAAAAAAACTTTGTAAAACTATAAATTGAAGAGAGATTTTAATTTTAATGTAGCAATAGATTTCTATATTTCTACTTGATTCCAAGGTAGTCATTCTTTTTTGTATGTAGCAAAACATGGGCATTTTGTGAAATGAGTTTTTTTTTTTTAACTTATTCAAGTGTTTGAAATTTGCCCATTATAGAAATCAGGTTTGTCTTCTTAGCCATGTCTTTTTCATATTTCAGCATTGCGATTTGCTTGGGGATGAGCTACTGGAATGTCTCTCTTGGAGACGAGGAGCCCTACTGTATATGTATTGTCACTCTCTGACTAAAAGAAGAGAGTGGCTCTTGAGAAAATCTAATCTACTTAAAAAGGTAAAAAGACATTTCTTACCTTTTTTTTTTTTTTTGGCACTGGGAATTGAACTCAGGACCTTGTGCTTGCCAGGCAGGTGCTTGTGCCGCTGAGCTGTATCCCCGGCTCTTACACATTTTTAACTGTTGACATTTATAGGTTTCAAAAAGTTGTATGAGTGTTATATTATTAAGAGTAGTGAAATCAATGGGTCAGGGCTTGTACTTTAGGTCTTTTACTTATTAGCTGTGTGATTTTAAAAAAATACAATTGCTGTGAAGACACAATAAGGTAACGTGAAAGCACTTTGTCATTTGAGGTGTTTCTTATGCTTATTTTTAAGTTCTAGACTTTTATTTTTTAAAATATAAGATAAACTATATTAACTTCTTGGCATATTTTTTTGACCTGAAGAAAATACTGTGTTGTGAGCCTCTCTCTGTCAGCAGGTCGTTCCTCAAGGACCCACATGACTTGCTCCTAGAAAATTATGGCCCTCTAATTTGCCTTGTCTGTTCTGAACAAATCATTAAATCCAGATATCTGGGTCTTAGTATTGTTGTCACTGCGCATTCTGACTCAGGGTGAAAATACATATAATTAGGTGGGCTTGGAAATGAGAAGTCCCACTTCCAGATATGTTTGATTATAACATTTCTAAATTAAAATATATACATATTTTTAATTGTTTTAAAACACTTCTTATTGTAGTTGTCCTTTTTTTCTTCCAATATTTTGATCAGTATATTCATGAAGCATATTAGCATCTTTTTTTTATATTTACTGCTTGTATTATGAAAGTCTTGGAGTTGCTGGGTCTTTAACAGCATTGGAATATAATAAACATTAGATTTGTCTGTACATTAGTCCATTTTCTCTTAAAGAATGGGAAATATAATATTTGAAGTTTATGTAACTCTGTATATAAACTTGCAATTCTTCGGCTTTTTTAGTACCTCGTTGATGGGATCAATTACTTGCTACAGATGCTGAACTATCGGTGTCCTCTCCAGTTAAATGAAGGAGTTTCTTTCCAAGACCTAGACACAGCTAAATTACTGAGTGCAGGTAATGTAATCTCTATTTAGACTTTTCTAAGTGAGATAAAGCTTTTAAAGATTATAGGAAGTTTGTTAGATTTTATTCTGATCTAAATAAATTTTAAAGAAGATTATAGCCAAAAAATAAAAGAGCTTTTTTAAAGAAACTCAAAGTTTAAAATCTTTTCACTAAATACTTCTAATCTTTGATTAGTAATTTTGGGAGAGTTTTGTATCATGTCACTTTTATTTATTTTACATCCTATGTCATTATGAGTATAACTGGATTAGACGTGAACTTCTATCAGACTAGAAACAATTTCTAAACAAGGTAGATGTTTAGATCTCTTTCACGTAATAAAAGCCCAGAACTGATGCAGTGGTTCTATGATATCATTGTGTTCTTGTCTTTTTCTCTGTCTTCAGAACCAGAGCCCTTCGGCTTCAAAGGAAGGTATTTTGTATAGAATACAATAGATATAAATAATTCTAGAGCTGTGCAATATTGCATTCTATTTAGAATATTGCTTCCATTCTCAGTATCCATAGATGCTTCTAGAGCCTCTTCCATCATCGCAAGCTGCAGCAATGACAGAAGGGAATTTTTTTCAGCTGTTACCTCACTTAGACCAGCCTTAGAGCAGCCTTTTGAGAAGTTTCTAACAACCTACATTTCATTGGCCAGAATTTATCAGATGACTTCACCTAGTAAGGAGAGCTGGAAAGTAAAGTTCTAACTTAATGCTTTGTTATCCGAAGTTACGGTTCTTTAATACTATGGGGGAAGCAAAGGAATATTACCTTTAAATTTCCGCCACAGACATCTTTTTACTCAAAAATTCTAGGAACTGGATGTGAAGCAGTTTTTGAGTTTTAGCCTAAGCTTTAGTCTGAACTTACTTTTACCATGACTTTTTGTTTGTTTGTGGGTAGTACTGGGGATTGAACCCAAGGCCTTTGCACTGAGCTGTATTCTCAGTTCATTTTTACTTCTCGAGACTGGGTCTTACTAAGTTGCCCAGGCTGGGCTTGAACTTATTATCTACCTCCTTAGCCTTCCAGAGTGTTGGTAAGTAAACCAAGTATCCTAGTTAGGGTCATATAGCTGCAGGTGACCCTAGATCATATAAGTAAATTTTTTTGCTTATACTTCATCTGAAATTTTTGTGGAAAGAAATATGAGCAATAAAATAAAATATGAGCAATAAAACAACTTCGTAGGGAGTTTTTAAAAAAACTTCAAATTCTATACATATTTTAATTTTTCCTATTTCTTTGTTAATTTCTCCAGGCTTCTTTTTATTTGAAAACATTTATTAAAAATAAAAAATTAATTTAAATGTTATTAACAAAGCTGCACCAAGTCAGAGTAGCATATGGCACAGGGCAGCAGTTCATGGTGGCTGAAGACAGCAACAGCAGCAAGAGCACAGGGGCCAGAACAAGCCTTTTTTCCTCCCTTATACTATAAGCAGGCTCCCTGACCCAGGGGCATGCAGCACTCACATAATCTCTACGCCCTCCTCCTGCACAGGCTCAGTTTGATACAAAGTAAGGACCCTTGCCCTGCTCAGTCACTTAGTTACCTTCTAAACTTCTCAGACTGACACAATGAACATCGCAGAGCATAAGGGCTTGTCCTTTTCACCCCAGGATGCAGAACTGCTGAGTCACTTAGCCAAGCCTCTAGACTCAAGTAGACACAATGTATCAACCATAACACATACTCTGGTCTTTCATGGTTTTTTTATTGATATAATACTCTAATGAGTCAGCAGTTCTACTGAAACTATTGCTTCTCTTGCAACCATTTATAAATTGGGTTTGAGGTGAGGTGAAAGTGATAGTTGTAAGGGCAAATTCTGAAACTTACAAGCCTGCACTAGATTAAAAACAATAGAGACTATACCAGGTTTGAAAGCCACATTTTTTATATCTAGTGCCAGTGTAGTCAGTTTCTTTTAAACCACATTAGGTAAATAGCTGAGATTGTTATGCTCATTTACTTGAGGTATACTTTTCTAGAAACACAAGCACCTCATTTTAGAATAAATCATTTATTTGTACTTCAGTGACCTTAAGAAGTTAAATAGTTGTGTATTTTAGTGATACTTTATGTTTTCTGAAACTTTAACATTTTAATTTCATCTGTTCCTTAAGAATGCTCTGAATTATGTAGAGAATGTGGAATCTTAATTTTTTAGATTTATAAATTGAGTCTCAGAGAGCTTTGGTGTGTTGCTCAAAATTAGAAGCCAGTAATTCATACCCAGCTCTTTTTGATTCTAGATTCATTTATCTTCCTACTAAATTGATACATAAATGTTTAATTATGTAATTACTGGAATAATTTGAGGAATGCATTCAGATTTTGATGAAAATCCTGCAGTGTATTTCTCTTTTCTAGTCTAGGAACACAAAGCATGTTAGATATAATTATCTTTGAAAATTTGAATTACATAGCTTCTTAAAGGCATGTTGGCATATGATACTTGTGGTACACTCTTGGAGAAATATATTAGGTATATGATTTATGACTGTTGCTATATCAGCAATCCCAGGGCATACCCCAGAATAAAAATTGTGTCTGTGAATGGGATTCAGGGACTTTAAATATTCTAAAGTTGTCTGCAGAATTTGGGGTATATTTCTATGAGGAGTTTCACTGGTGAAATTAAACATCATCAAAAGGACCTCTTCCCTCAAAGAAAAACAAAGATTAAGAACACTTAAATGTTTCTTTAAGAATTGTTTGACAGTATTCTATTTTTGTGAATATGCTATTTTTCTTATATAGGTAAAATAGAGCAGGTTAAATTAGGGTTGTATTAGTGATACTGGTCTTCAAAAGTGTTATTTAATGAGATGAAAAATGCTTAATGACAAGGAATTTATTAGTATTTTAATAATCAGAGTTTCTTTTTAAACATGTAATTCTAATATCTTAACATCAATGACCTTCCCAGGAATATTTAGTGACATTCATTTGCTGGCTATGATGTACAGTGGAGAAATGTGCTACTGGGGATTGAAACATTGTGCAGATCAACAGCCAGATAATCATGAAGTGGATACTGGTATATCTGAAGCCAGCTGCACTGCACACAAAGAACCCCTGGATTTTCGAGAAGTAGGAGAAAAAATTTTGAAAAAGTATGTATCTGTGTGTGAAGGACCCCTGAAAGAACAAGAGTGGAATACAACAAATGCAAAACAAATTTTAAACTTCTTCCAGCACCGCTGTAACTAGTAGTTCATTTAGTCCTTTTCAGTGAGAAAGACAAAAACACCCATGAAATGGAAAAAGTTTCAGAAAAGAAGACATATTAACACTAATTCTAAAAACATTATACTACGTAAAGCTATCCACTATAGTTAGGTCACCTTTTTAAAAATATTATCATCATCTTTCACTATATATTCTTAAGCCTATGTAGAAATACTTCTTTAATTTCTAAACTAATGTATATATTATTCTATCTCTCTTTGAACTAGGTATCCTGCCTCTAGTAAGGAAAATCCAAGTTAGCTTTACTATGATTTTTGCCCTAATATATTATTTTAAAATTGTGATAACGTAACACAAAATTTAATCTCCCTGTCTTGAAGTTTGCCATGCTTCAAATACTAAAATCAGCTCACCTCATTGCTTTGACTACCTAGTAATATAAATGTAGGCAAAAGGAAAAATTATGACTAATATTTAGACTTCATTTGTAATCATGTAAATGACAAAAGACTCCACAAAGGAATCATTTGTGTTTATTTTGCCATGTATTACTAGTCTTGTTTAAAATTTTTACTTTTAGATATTTTATAAAAATGTGAAAGTTATTTTCCTATTTTATTTAAAATCCATGTTTTCTCAAGTAATGAAGATAAAAACCAACTTAGTTTAGTCCATATCTTATTAGGATATATGTTTTCATACTGTTTTGAAATTTTAATATTTTTTGCTTTTAATAGTTGGTAGAATACTAAAGGTCAAGGAGCCTACCTTGATAACTTGCTTACTGTCTTTCTGTCTACCTCAACTCCTACTTTTATCTTCAGCTGATCTGTCTGAAACCTTGCTGTAAACTAGACTTCTGCCCAGATGACTCTATCACATTACAGCACCTTCCTCCATGGGTATACCTTGAGCCCCAACTATCCTGAGTTAGACTTTCTGAATTCTTCAATTTCGGTAACTGATGACAATTTTCATCCTACCAGCTTTTTTATGTCTTTAAATTTATTGATTTTTCTTTTTCTTTACTTTTATAATTTACAATCTGTAGCTTCTTCACAGCCTTCTTTTCTTAAACACTCCCCTTAGTACTACACTATCATTGTCTTTCAGATGTTTTGCTTCTGTTTGCCCTCAGCTTCATGTAGGCACCGTACAAACTGCTGTTACCAGTTGCTCCCTCTTCCATCTCATCCTTCAGCCAGCTCATTTTATAAGCCTTTGACAATGAGTCAGTCCTCTTACTAACCTTTACTAGGATACTTCATTGGAAGAGCATACAGTCAAAGTGGGATCATTAAAGGTGTCTCACTTCAGCTTTTGAACAGCCATCACTGTAAGCCTTTGGTTTTTCACTATGGTGGCCATTATGTCTTTTCCCACTGTGGCTGAGTCAGAAACTTTACTTTTTTTAAGGCCTTCCCCCTTCTCCCTACCATACAGAAAGTTGAGGCTATAAGGTCAACCAATATTAACCAAATTTACTCATTTCCCCCATTTTAGAGAAAAAGAGGTTATTCGCATTGAAGGCTAATCTGTGCTACAAGAGTTTATCTATGCTATTTCCTTCATTTCTCTGTCTCTTCTCATTTTGTGCCTACTTTTTTGATATATTGATCTTTTTTTTTTTTTTTGGTTTTTCTCCGGTACTGGGAACCGAACTCACGACCTTGCGCTTGCCAGGCAGGCGCTTTGCCGCTGAGCTAAATCCCCAGCCCCTGATATATTGATCTTTACCAAAGTTCTATTCTCTTCCTTTCCTTTCGTTTTCTCTCCTTTTACTCTAAATAATCTTGTTATCTTTTTTTATAGCAGTTGCTTTTTCTACCACCTGTAATATCAGGCTGACTCAAACCTGTACTAGAAACCCAACCTCCCTCACTTAGACAAATACCCCTGTAACTGTAAGTTCGATGTATCAAAACAAATCCTCATCTTCCATGCAGAATGTTTTATGCTTTGTTTTTCTCATTTTTGAATCAATTGTAGAGCAGGAAAACGCAAAATACTTGCCTTCCCAGCCTCATCTGTACCATCATGTTCCAGTCCAGTGTTCCTCAAGCACTGAAAATGCAGTTTCCTTTCTGGTAAACATAAAATTCTAAAAGAGCCTTCAGGGCCAGGAGAAGCTCTCCTTATCCCTGCCCAGGCAGGTATATCCCCACGGCTTATCCTAATACAGCCAAGAAGATTTTTATTTCAATTACATTTTAGCGGGTTGTGTTATGAAAATATCTTTGTGTTTCTGAAGTATAAAGATCTAAATCATTTTTAATGTGGTTTTTAAATGCATAGGCTATCCTTCTCTTTGGAGAACATGACCGATCAAGTACTTCTGATTCTTTCCCCAAATGTACTTGTATTTTCAATCTTACCACTTTTTAAACATCATTACTTCTGTGCCCTTTGTGGCTAAATGAATACATACTTATCTTTTAGGAGGCAGGTTCGGGAACACTGTCCAAAGACTTTTTCAGCTCTTTTTGGTCAAAATTAGATGCTTCTTTGTTAAGTTTCCTCCCATATTCTGAACTTATTATGTTGCTTTATCATGCAAACTATATTTTAAAAATTTGCCTTTATAGTGTTCAATGCATGGTAAGCCCATATTGTTTTCTTTTTAAATTAATGAGGCATGATTCTAAGTGCCAAACTGCACAAAAGAGTTAATGCTGTTAGATTCCAAACTGCCATGCCCTCTACGCTAGTGACTGACAAGGCAAACAGAGACATATTCAGTCCTTACAGAAGTAAAGTGTTATTAGAGTCTAAATCTGTGGAAACAAGAGAAGTTTATCTTCAGCAACTGGGAGGTCGAGTTGTCAGCTCTCTGGTTAGTACAATTGTGAGGGTATTACTGGGTGCTCTTGTATAACTTTCCATCCTGGAATCAATTGGAGAATAACTTGTAGATCATAACAGTTATAAATGCTTTTTATTCTGGTGTATTATGAACAACAACATATTTTTGTATATGTGAAAGCCTGCTAAGTAAATTCTCTTTCATTTAGAATGAAATAACTTTAATTTACCAAACACTTGACATAAGGAAAGTACTATAAGTCTTTCATTTTTTTGATTAACTACTTTGTGCCTATTACATGTCATATGTTGGTTTTTTTTTTTCTTCTTCTTTTTGAGACAGGGTCTTGCTGTGCAGTTCGGGCTGGCCTTGAGCTCACTTTGTAGCCCAGGCTGGTGTTGAACTCACAAAGATCCTCCTGCCTCAGCCTCCTGAGTGCTGGGATTAGAGGCGTGTGCCACCACTCCTGGTAACATGTCACATTTTGTTTTGTGTACTGAGAAAATAGTTTTGTAAAAACACTCCTGTTTTCAGAGCTTGTATTATAGTGAAAGTTAGATAAAAGGTTAGCATGTTAAGTGGTGAGTACTATGAGGAATACAACAGGGTAAGGGTGTAATATGACTTGGCTATGGGTGCTATTTTATTTAGAGAGGTTGGGAAGGCACCTCTGATCACCTATTGCTTTAGCATTTGTGTCTTCAAATTCCATCCTGTTGGCCAAATTCCTTTTATATTTAGTATATTTACAAAGTTATTCTTTCTTATGGATGTTCTGATAATAAAGAATAAGTAACTACTTAAGACCTTTTTGTTATATTTAAGGGATTTTCTTGAATATGGGCTTTACTAATGGATATTACCTAAAGACCTTGTTGCATTTTTACACTTAGGGTTTCTCCTTAGCTTGAATTCTCTGATGGTTACTAAAATTTAAACTCTGTTAAATGATTTTTCATAATCCTTAAACTTGTATGGTTTTCCTGGTATGAATTTTCTGGTGTCCACTGGGCTTTTAAGACTTACTGAAGGTCCTGTTTTCCTATATTTATAAGATTCCTGACTATGTGAATTCACTGATGCTGATTAAAGTGCAAACCACAACTTTTTTCTTATTCCTGTGCATACAGTACACCAATGAGAGAGTCGTGTCTGAACCCCACCACAAGATTACATCTCTACCTTACCAGTCTCCTGTGAGTTCTCTGATACTCATAACAGTGTGAGTGGTGTCTAAAGGCATTCCCAGATTCATTTTAATGGCATTTAAAAAAATCCACAGGTGATTAATATGCTAGTTTTAGATTGTCTCTTTTCTCCCTCCTTCCAATGCCTATTTTCTTGCATTAGATAATGCAAGTAAATGTACCCTATCTGCCATGAAATTCACAATTCTGTAGTTCTCTATTATCACTTCACTGTGTATCTTTTTAAATACAACACGAGATGCCACATTATAGAAGTATTACATTAAGAAAATACATTTAATATAGCCATAATCAAAGAATGCATTATGTATTTATATTACAGTTTTTTGTTTGTTTTTCCTACTTCCAGTGAAAATTTCCAAGTACAATGTTTTGGAGTATATAATTTTTTAAAAATAAAATCGTATTCCTCTACTTATTTCTGGATTTGCTTTCCCTTTTTTGTTTGTATCAGAATGAAAGCTTTCATTATCTCAGTTCATTATTCTAACTTCTAAATAGTATTTCTTTTGTTCCTAATAATTTTCAGACAAGATAGCATAATGGCTAGGATTGTAGTATGTTCTAGAGCCAGAAGGCCCAAATTTAAGTCACAGCTCTGCCATTTCCTAACTGTAACTCCATGTAAGCAACTTAATCTTACTTAGTCTTTCTAGGCCTTAATAGCCTCTTTTTAAAATACAGGAAAATTAACAGTATCTGACAGGATTCTGAAGATTAAATAAATGTTGAATGCTTTAATTCAGTGCCTAGCCATTGTGAAAGCACAAGGATTAGCTATAATTATTTTCCTGAATGTTGGAAGTTCTGCATGGAGGCATACTTCGTTCTACATCCATAATTAGAGTGCCCGTCAGCCAGAACAAGTGAGTAACAAACTTGTTGCCCAGTAAGCACTGACTTTTCCTTTGTTCATGTCATACTGGTCATTGTAGATGAGAAACAGGTTTCAGAGAAGAAATTATGGGAAAGATAGAGAACTCAGTGTGTGTGGGGGGGATATAGCCAGAAGAAACCCTACAAGTAATTGTCAAAACATTTTCAGCCCATCAAAGTATATATGGATGTATTGGTCATCTAAATATTCTACATACCGTTTTTAAAACTTCTCCTTTTACCAATCTGCCTGATGCCTTTGGGTCTAATTCTTAAATTCCAAATCAGAGGCATCTAGTAAAATATGATTCATGTAAATACTATATGCATACCATTTAAAAAGAGATTTTATTTTAAATCTTGATTGAGCAGTGTGTAGCTGTAAAGTGCAAGTATAATGAAGAGTGGTCTTACTAAGTGAGAAGGCAAAGAAGGTGTATGGTATGATGCTGTTTATGAAAAGAGATATCACGGCCGGGAATATAGCTCAGTGGAGTCACACCTGCCTGGCAAGCATGACATCCCAAGTCTGATTCCTGGTAGCAAAAAAAAAAAAAAAAAAAGGAAGAAAACAGATATAAACTCTGTGTATCATCTTATATACATTTATTTTAATTAAGTTTATTGGTACATTTTAGACATACATAATGATCATATTCCTCACATGGTATTTGTACCTGTACATGATATATTTTGATTCCTCTTTTTTTCCAATCCCCTTTCCTTCCTTTAATCCATCTTCCCCTTTTAAACAAAACTTTTATTTTTAAAAAGCAAGCAATGAAATGATAACCAGAAGGTAAAGTAATGACTGTGTTTGGTGGAGATGAGAGAAGAACCAGATGGAAAAGGATCCAGAGGAAGAACTTAGTGTCAGTTTGACTTTGGAACCACGTACATGTATTCTAAAATAAGTTCAAGTTATAGTATAAAGCCCCAAAAAATCCAAAACAAAATGAAATGTACTGAATTGTGTGTCAACTTTGTGACTTACATACATGAGAATGTTTCCGTTATCCCTAAAGCTTAGTAGTTTGTCTGTACTTTACTGGGATATACGCAAGGGCAATAAGATCTATAATTTTAAATTCCTCAGTAATTGTTGGTAACTGTAAAGTTAAATTGAACATTAACTTGAAAAAAGAATATATATATAGTCTTTTTGAGATAGGGTTTCACTCTGCAGATCAGGTTGGACTTGAACTCCCTTTGTAGGCCAGGCTGGCCTGTAACTCACAACGATCCTCCTGCTTCATTCAGCCTCTTGAGTGCTGGGATTACAGGCATGCGCCGCCATGTCTGGCTTGAAATATTATTTTAAGCAACAGAGATCTAGTTTTGGAGCATGCATAGTGTTCTTTGGATATTTGAAAATGACATTATTTGTGTCTTTCCTACCTATAGAAACTGTACTCAATTCTGTATCATAGATTACCTTGTAATGTACTCTGTGTATAGTATAGTTTCTTAAAGCCTTTTACAACTAAAACCAAAGTGAGCAGAATGGGCCTTAGTTTTGAGAAATTTACTAGAGAGATTCAGCAATACTGCACTTGAGTTCTCTTCTGTTTTTGTTTTTTCTGCCCTTTTATGAGGTTATAACATTGAGCAATTTTTGAAACGTACTTATATTTTTGTATAGTGGACCCAGACTCGTTTTGGTATATGATCTCTTCTGACTGGACTTACGATCGTAAAATAACAATTTTGCTTTAAGGAAATAGTTTAGTTGGAGTCAAATATGAATGACTTTGGCCTGCGAATACGGATTCAGTTCACCCCAAATTACGTGTTCCACAATGTAAGAGGGTACATGAACTTTGATAGCCACAGAAGAAAGAAGGCCATAAATCAAACACATATACCAAGTACACTGGCATGGTACTAGGTAGGTGCACTGTAAAAAAGAGGGAAGATCTTTCCTACAGGTTTCAGATGTTATAGCATTCTTAAGCTTTAGGGTTTTGAACGGTGGAAGACTGTTAAGTTGAGTAATATATTTCAAGAGTTTTACCTGAGAGTCACAAGGATGTTAGGTCATGTACCAAGGCTGAAAGTAAATGGCTATTAAGGGCACTAAGCCCAAGAAAATTTTGGCTGTCCCAACCACAACATTCCATCTCCATAGTCACCGCGTGCTGGTCACCCCCGGTCGGTGTGTCGGGTAGGGTGCTCGCTGCAGTTTTGGTTGCTTCTGAGAGCTTCAGTTCCACAAACTCCTAAGGCCCCCGGAATTTCAGTTTTTGCTAATCACAAGAATGGGCACAAATGAGTAACCTACTGCTGACAAAGAAGCAATTATGTAACCCGAGGTGGTAGCAGAGGCCCGCCCATCACCACGCTGAAGTCACCGGGCCAGGGCGACGGCGTGCGTGGGCCTGAGGCGCGCGCCGCGCTGCGGGCGGGCGGGCGGG